GTGTGTGTGTGTGTGTGTGGTGTCCCAACACAGATACTGGTATATTTGGCCCAATACGACCATTTTTAAATGTATATATATACAAAATGCTGATACTCAGGACTGATACTGTTATCAATACTCTATCAAATGTGTTACAGTTTACATTTCAAATGAAAAGTTTGTCAGTTCCATGTTTAACAAAGTTATAAAATTGAAAGAAAATTGTATTTGCTATTTTATTTATTTATTTTATGTTTGATAGTACATATCATGCTGTGTATTTCATTTGATTCAGTCAGAGGGGCTGTAGGCCTATAAGGAAGGAGAGAGATCTTGTTCTAAAAAAGTGCTTTAAAGTCACTGTGTAATGTTCAAGTTCTAACTCAGTAATTACTCAGTGTCAGTACTCAAACTGAAGTACTTGTACTTGGTTTGAGAAAAACTGGTATTGGGACACCCCTAGTTTTTACAGTTTGTACAACGTAGAACTATGAAAGGTCATAGCAAACTGTTTCTGATCAAACATGATTTTTTTATGTTAGTATGTGCATGTTTCTCTTGTTCAAAGATTTAGGGCACGAAAACCAAAAAAACAAAACAAAACAAAATACATGAACAGAGTAACATGATGGATGCTTCAACAGTTCTGCATTGACACCCTTAACAAGGAGGATGCTAAAATGTTAAGCCTATCATTCTTTCTGTGACTAGTTTAATGTCTGGCACACCAAAAGATTACAATAAATTTGACTTGTTAAAATATCCCACACCAAACTGCTAAAAACTGTACAAGCTTATGAAACTTAATTTTGTAAACCCGAATAATTTGACTCCTGTACAACTCGGCTCATTCAAGTTGACTCCAAAACAGTGAATTGAATGAATCTCAATCCTGTCTCAAGGTTTCCAGCTGACCTCAATGGCCTGTTTTATTGGTAGCAAAAAGTTCATTACTGTTGTTTCCAGAAAAAAAAAATATTGACTTGGAGAGTCCTTGACCTAAAACACCTCAATCACTCCGAGAAATACAACTGCATATTCCAAAAGCTACAGAAATATTAAAATTATGTTTAATTGAAAAGTCCTATTGCTATGCATGAATGTGAACACCAACTGTACAGATTTATTATTAAAAATATATATATTTTGTGGTCCTTAGAAAAGAGTTTACTGGAAAGCTCAGTCTAACTTACCATGAGGTTATTAGGTGCTGGTCTCTCCTTGGGGTTCTTACGCATGCTGAAAAAAGAAAAAGAAAAAAGAGAAACACAAGCAGCTTTTATTTTCTGTGTTTCTCAGAGCACAAAATGGGTTTTAGTTCTTTCATGCACACTTTGCATTTACAAGTTAATATATTAAAGATGATTTAATACAAAATCCTTCATGCCACAGAAAATACAAAAGAAGACTGAACACTCGTACGCCACAGTTAATTTATTTCAAATAATTAGAAAATTTGTGGGTCTTCCATATTGTGTATACATATGTGGTCCGTCAGAGCGACGTGCACCAGGGCCTGTGTGCAGCTAGTGGTGAAACAGGTTCATGCATCATGCTGAAAGGGCCGTGAACTTCTAAGAATAGTCCGACAGTGACGTACCAACCCTGTACCAAAGCAGGACAGAGCACCTGCGCTCAGTCCGCCCTGCGAGAGAGGTGTCCTGTTTGAGTAAATACAGCAGCCGTGGGGGACAAACAACAGCTGGCATGCCCTGCTGCTGARTGCTCAACACMCATACGTACACACACACACATGCATWCACACTGTACATGCATGCGGTTTGGGATTGCATGTAAATGTTTGCCTAACTCTAAAGGTTACAAGTGGCTAATGAATCAGAGGCAAACACAGGGTAAACAATGTTTTTGACCTAATGCATTAGAGAAAACCAGACAAGGTAAAATAAATCTGCTTTCTATTCAAACCTAGAAACTATAAGTATCATAGCTAAAAGCTAACTCAACCACAATGCATTAACACACTTGATGCACTTTATCATCATTGTGTACCATGATACCTTTAATTCATTCAAGATTATCTGGTTCCTGTAAATGCAGCTTGTGGTTGAACTAATTGCTAAATGGAGTCAGATATGTTTGCATTATTAGCACAGCCAGACATAAAGATAAACAAATAAAAAATCTTAAGCCTTATTGGTCTTTCTGACAAAAGAACCTTTGGACTAATTACAGGTTTTGACTCACCACTGAGTGATGAAGTGAACAAACGTCTCACTGAACTGACCAACAGGAAGCACAGGAGGGTCCTGTGAAGACAAACAAACCAGTTCAGAGAGAACGCAGTATTTTACATTTAACATAGTACCTTGCTACAACGCTCAATGTTAGAATAAAACCAAAGAAACATTTAAACAGTGTGACAAAAACAATACCTAAAGACTAATCTTATTGTCTTAATTGTGTGACTGAAGTAAAAAAAAAAATTGCAGGTTAAAAAGTGAGCATTATTATCAAAACAATATTTTTACTAAAATATTAAAGTGATATTTTTCATTCTAGAGTAGTATTTTAACCTCAATAGCTGCTGTTGTAAGGGGTCATAAAATCATTAGTTTAAAACAAATTCTAAATTTTTAAAAATATTTTCAGGCAGTTTGATTATCAAATCACTGTTCACCGAATCTATATTTATTCAAATGATTATATAATTTAAACAAATTCCATCTTTGCTGTGATGAATGCATACAATATATCTTGTACATACCCATTTGATTTTTTTAAAACTGAAAAAAAAAAACATTGCATAAAAGTGATCATATTTATTGAATATTGATTAAAAGTGATATATTTATCATATTGTTTTTGTTATATGTTGAATTTATGTTGTTTTGTTTTAAATGAATAAACTTTATAAAACTTAAATATTATTAAGATTTAAAACAAAATAGACAAAAGTACAGAACATAAAGACCAGTCGATACACTGGCTTTTATTTGTAACTAAAATGCACTTAAGTGTCTTTAATGAAAAATAAATTATGCTATCAAATGAGCAAAGCTATAATAAGCTATTAAAAAACACAAATAAATATGCAATTAAACACCAGTTTTCCTGACAATAGTACTGTATTTATGATCACATCAAACAGTCTTTTTTAAATAAAAAAGCTTTTTATAAAATGGTCAGTAAGTGTTTAACAACTGCAGTGCAGAGTTGCACCTTTGTGAACTATCCTCTATGGTTTGTCATATTACCGTGACACAAAATCACAGCTTTTAACCGTGGATAGATGGGACTGTCTCCAGACTGTGTTCATGCAGCTGCTCTGTGACTGAGGTAATATCAAAAATCTGTAACAGAGCACCGTAATGAGATTTGTACGATGACCCTATTTAAACATTTTAATCAAAGTATGATATAACATCCATCCATTTATTCATCCAACCCTCCTGAGTCAGGTTGCAGGGGCAGCAGTTTGAGCAGGGAGGCTCAGTCATCTCTTTCCACAACCGCCTCCTCTTCCACTTCCAGAAGGTTCTAAGGTGATCTCTCTCTCTAACATGTTCTGGGTCTTCCTGGCATCTCCTCCCAGTTGGACATGTCAGGAACACCTCCCTAGGGAGTGTTTATAAGTACATGGTGGTCTGACACATTATAACCAAGATTTATGAAATCTGTCACATACAATAAATTCAGACAATAGTGGATTGACAACTTAGTTCTGGGTCAAAAAAGGACGTAAATAAAAAAAAAACCCTAGTACCTGTACCATATAGATTTTACTGTATTGCTTAAAGTTTGTTAGTTTTAAGGTTATTCCTAAAACTTGATATTTTGGAACAGAATCACTGTATATAAATGTTTTTTTTTGTTAACATTAATATAAGTTTCCCAGACCTGCCATGTGAACAGTTAGAGTCAGACTAGCATGGCAGGATGGCTGACAACAAAGACTTATAGCGGTTTAGACCTACTTTTCTTACAGCATAATGCTGCAGAGAAAAAAGGGCTATGAGAAGGTCATAAAGTTTTAGATCTTACCAATTCACCAAAATAAAACTAAAGATGAAATTTCACAAAGAAGCTGGCAGAAAAAAAGCTGTGGTGAAGGTTTTCACAGCTATTCAGAGATCAAGGCTACRTTTCTGAAGGACAGTGATTCCAGTATGATTTTTCTTAAATGTCCCTTTCTTCTCAACACTGTAGTTTTTTGCTCTCTTGCTGAGGAATGCTTAATATAAATTTTTTTCAAGATGTCTCGCTGTGTAAAAAAAAAAAAACATTTCACAATGTGTCTGATGATAATGTAATGAGCTGGAGCTGAAGTGCACAAGCCCAACAAAAGTTCAATATGTAGGACGTTAATATTATAAGCTATATTTATTTATTAAAGAATAGATTTTCAAAAAAAAATCTTGAATAAAATTGTATAAGAAAACAGGCAGCAGATTTTTAAAACACACTAAAATTATGAATTGGTCCCACAAAACAAAACAAAACAAACAAAATCTAAGATTGCAGCTTTATAGTATATTAAAAAATTTAGTTTTGAATCACACACAACTAAATTATGATCAATTAAGCCTCCTAAATGAGTTTTATGATAGTGTTTTGGTTTGAGTGTGTGTTTTAGGCTGACTACACACAGTCGATTCAGGCTCTATGAACCGTATCATGTAAAACATCTGTGCCAGATTGACCCTCTAATCATTGCTTCACCTCATTACTTCATCCTATTTCTATTCTCATTCTGTTTTGTTCCTCAGCTTTGACCGTCGGCGAGACAAGCTCCAAACATTTAGGCTGCGTCGTCTTTCTTTATACCTACACCGGTAAGATCCAACAGAGAAACAATAACAAGATAGTGATAGAAAACAAACTGAACAGGCATTTATTTCTGAATGATTTTCTACCTTCTGTGATATAAATTAAAAATACTGCATCCCAGCACTACAGCATGTTTAGGCTAACATCAGAAAGAGGTACGATCACGTACAAAAAGGTAATTGTTGGACAAACTATAGGTTTAAGTCTAGATAGATGCAAATAACCTATCAGTTAGAAATGTTCAAAATTCAGAACGCCTGAGTCCACAACCAGACACTTATTCAAATGCCATGAATTAAACCTCTTCACATCCGAAACCCTGCTGCGCCATTAAAAACACCTCTGGGCAGTGTTCGCCATTCCTTAATGCTCTGATCGGCAGGCTCTCGCAAGGCATGATGCATGAACCCATTTAAATTAACAAAGGAATGGGTTCCTTCTAATCTCACTGCACTTCACAGTCGTGTCGCCGCTTGGATGAACAATATATCATAGCACATACACAAACCTGCGCCCACAAACAAATGCCCTTGAGCACTGCACACTACAAGCCTGGGCATACACTCTGTTTTGAGGCAGAAAAACCAAACAAATTGCAACCGCTGCATTAAGATGTGCACACTCGGTACGAACAATTAGACTTAAAGTACGCTCGGTGTCTTGAYTACACAACAAACGTATCTGTCGCGTAGATTCAAATTGAGAAGAAGTCCTTGCGTACACTTTTCTCACACATCTGCATGCACCTTAATGCGCCTTTTTGCAGATGCAAACACACATTATGCATGTATTCATGTTTCCAGATGAGTGCAGCACTGCTGCAGCTTTGATGTGGCAGCAGGCGAAGGCACAAAAGACAAGCAGGCTGATGAAAGTGACTAGTCTGTTTAAATTATTCCTCTGGTTGTCAATTTGCTCCACTATAAGACAAGCACGCACACTACAAGGGTACAAGGGTACGAGTAAATATACATGTCATTGCCATGAAGCAATTATTAGGCAAAATTAGATCAGTAATTACAGGCTTGAAAATAAAGTGGGAGTTCTTTATTAGTGAGACCACTTGCTATTCAACAAATAGAGAGAGGCACATTAATGAGAGAAGACAGCGGACAGATGGTAGGGAACAACTGCAGAGAACTTATTTAAGTCCTTGGCTCAACAGCGTGTGCAGGGATCTTGTGCAAACACTAAAACCAAATTACCACCTAAACAGGGAGGTAAATTTATATAAATTCAAAATAGACATACTCATAATCACAATTATCTATCATAAAGTTTAACTCTTGTCRGTTTTTGACAATTTATTTTACATCATTTACCAGCATTTACAACCTTTATTTTAGAATACTTATCTCAAAATCTCAAAACAAGTTCATAAAAGAACCAAAATGTGCTTATTTTKAGTGTGAATTTAGTTTAGGATCTGAAGCAAAAAGCTACGACAATGAATAAAATCAGGCTTCTTTTATGTGAACGGAACTTTGAACGGGTTCTTGTGATGGGTGAACTTGCACAATATTACACACAACACTGGTTACAGTTTTATTAATGATCCAGAAGGCTTCTTGTTTTTACAGCCGGTGTCTCCAACCCTCAAGAGAGGAATAATTGTAAAACATGTCCAGGTCTTAAAAAAACATGTCAATGATAAATAATGATTAAAAGCTGGTGCAGATAGGATTTAYTTTCATTTCATAATTGCAGATTAAATCATAAACGTTGGGCTAGATTATAGTTTTGCAAGCCAGGCACTGAAAAAAACAGGTGGTGATTTTCAAATATTGCTAACTTGCTGAAGATTGCAGCATATCACGGCAGCCACTGAGTTTAAAACAGAATAAAGTGAGACTGCAAAGAAAACATTGTTTATGCAACATTGGGTCAAGTATGAGTCGCTAACTAATCTCCAACAGCTGCAGCTCAATGARATGCTACTTTAAGATACTGAATAAACTTTTAGCCACCCAGTGGGTAAGTGTGACACTATTAAAACATTCTAAATTAAGTTGTGTGTTTTATATTTAAAAATTCCTTTAGTTCAGGTCAGAACACCTACTGCTCCCCATTTCTCTTAAGTGAAAATAAAATTAACCTCTAGAAGTCCAAATACACTTAATACTCCAGCAGAAATGTACTTGTGTGGTTTACGGACATCAAGTATTGATGGACTTCCAACTGATTGTTAATTCCTCAACCTTTACATTCACTCACACTGACTTCATGTTTCCAGACAGAGCTTATCCTCTTGTCTCTTCCTTGAAAGCACCATCGAATTAGCCGCGACGGTAAGGCTCTGCTGCCTCGCCAGGGACAACACGGAGCAAGCACTCTCTCGCCTCAAGGGGAGACAGCAAAGGGCACAGGAAAAATAGTTTGAGTGATCGCTACGTCTAGCTGACTAATGAACAGTTCAGCCCAGGTCAATCCATTACAACCAAAAGCATTTAATTATTAATTACGGCCAATCTATAGTCAGTTAAGGACAAGTGACACTGTATGTTTAATGTGCAATATGGCTAGTGATGGGGGCACCGGGTGGCTGTTGTTGAAGCATTTTGTGTCTATTAGTGAATGTCAGCAAAAAGCTCAGGGTAAAAAAAGACCAGAGGAAAATGTGACTCCTAGTTATGATGGTAATGTAGGAAATATGGGCTTATAAATCTAATTGGGTTTATTTTGCTTATTGATTTGGTTTAATATAAAGTGTTTCATCAGGTAATCTGAGTTTTTACATAGAAAAATGTAAACCCAAYTACGTTTCAGATTACGTTAATGGAAACAGAAAAAGGGCAATAAARAAAAATATTTGACTATTATTACACGATACACAGCTGTAGTGTGCTGCTGTTGGTTTGTCATCAATGTTATTTTCATTTGTTGATATTTTCCTGTGATTTTTATACACTAATAAATCAAATATTATTTTTCTTTTGAGACTATCATTTTGTATTTAAACAAAATAAGTCAAGGGGAGTAATCCTGGTAGAACATGATTTTGGCTCTGTGGTACACAAGCTTCAGATTTGTGATTTTCTCTGYCTGTCACTCATGACAGGTCCAACCTCAACGGTAATGTGCATACGTCTGCTGCCTGAGGCAGTTACATAGGGTGAAGGGTTGAGTGAATGGGGAACAAAGCTGCCTGAGTGGTTTGCTTCATTAGGAAACAAAATATAAGCTTTTCGGGCCATTAGCACTGACTTTAGATGCAAAAGCACATAAGACGACGACTCACCTCATCAACGATGCATTGCAGTAACTGGAGAGGCTGAGGAAAAGACACAGAAGGAGATGAGGGTTGGGAGGGGGGGAGATGTTAGCTTATATGGAATTCCTTCAGTAGGGGAAATCAGTTGTGTAATAAAAAAAGTACTAAGATTAATCAAATGCAGCTAGCTCAGGCAAAGCCAACATTCAGCTTTTGAAGGGTTTTATTACTTCATGATGGCACCTAATGTAATACCAGCAGTTTAGGCATAATCTAATAATTTGCTGCAAAAATCCAATCTGTGTCTGCTTTTTTTTAAATGAGAGAGTCAACCAAGAGTGACAGACTATATCCAGAGTAGGAGACCTCTAGCTTCTTACCTCCTATTCTTCTGCAATAAAACTTACCATTAAAGATCCTTGGTTTTTCTGAATCTGTAGGGCAAGACGGAGAAAAAGAGATGAGGCAATATGTAATTAGTGTGTCATAATCAAGACGATGCACTTGGACACATTATGATCACTAGGAGAAAATTATTGCTTTCCTGTTGGCAATTTGTGAGTACGTACTAACACCATTTACATAATGAAAACACACAAATGTTAATGGTCTTGCTCTCATTTGTAGAGAATGGGGCTAAGAGATCCACTAATGCTAATTCTCTGAGCATTTCCTTATTCCTGCCCTCCAGGTTTTCTCAATGTGCTGGGACGTAGAATCACTGTACAACAGCACTGAAGGAGCTTTGTAASCAGCTTCTCCCAGTTTGTCTGTTTCACAGACGTAGCAGGGTTTTTTATTTAACTGGACACGACGTGCTGACCAAAGCTTTGGTTTAGGAAGAAAGGTCAAAGAGAAAGGAGAGGTTTTCAAAATCAATAGTGACCAATAAGATAAATGCATCAAATATTTATTTAACTGTTTCATTTAATTACAAAAAGCACACAATATGTTCTTAAACATGCACAAAAACAAAAATAAGCTAATGGTTTTAAAAAAATCTACACTATGTTTTGTTTAATGTGTGACACTACCCAGGAGAACCACACAAAGCATTCAGTTTCTCCATTTAACCCCCCACCCCGAGGGTTGAATTTGCCAAGACAACCGTTTTAATTTCTAAAAACCCTAAATGTATAAATTCATCACACGGAATAAGTGATACAAGCCTTAAAAGCTGGGCTCAGCTAAACAGACTGCTCATTTCTCCAGGCCTTTTGACAGTGCATTAGAGCACTTATTGATTCACTCAATTAAATACAGGTTTTCACAGTCTGTAAATACCAAGAGACTCTTAAACTGCCTCTATAACCACTTTTGCCTGATTCAGRCACATTAAAGGCAAGTATGGAAAACTAATTTGTTCAGAAATAATTACTAAAACGAAATTCTGTGCTGCTTCAGAGGTTTAAAGTGGATGGTAGGAGGCAAACTTATTTAAAACATAATTGAGAACTTTTCTATTCCTATCAGTGACCGCATATCGAAAAGGTTTTAATATCTTTATAGATATCATTAAATGCACCCGTATCCAAATAATAACAGTTGGTTAATGTGATAGAGTATTTTGAATTTAAGACACTTCATCAATTTGTTGTTTCGCGGTCTGATCTGATTGGAACAAAGTCAAGCACTGTGCGTGATAATGTATTTACCTTTGTGTATATCTCTTTGTGTGTGTGTTTGTGTGTCACTACTTGATAGATGTAGCTTTGTARAACATCAGCTTATTGTGTCTGTTCAGGCTTCAAAGTTTTGGAGCTTTTCTCATTACATGAAAATATCACAGTGAGCTCAGCATGAAAACAGAAGTCACCAAAACAATTTTCAGATGTCAAAGCATTTTTGTTCCTTGACATTCAGAAAAAAGAAAAAAAAAATCAGATGATTGTTTCCCTCCTTTAAAAACGCAATAGAAATCTGAAATCTTAAACTTAAACGTGTATAAAAAAAACAACTAATCAATTTTAAAAATGCATTTTGGCAATGGGTTGCAGACTARCGGCATTATCAAGGAGATTGTGAGCAATAACAAGTAACCAACACTCAAGATATCATTAAAAATGTCCTAAATTATTCAAATAAAAAATATATATACATATACATCTTTAACTACAAGAATGTGATTAAACGTTTTTGTCAGCAGACTGATTACAGAAAGTATCACCTATATAGTGAACCTAAAATAGCTTTTGATAACTATAAGTGTCAATAAAATGTAATCAGTAAGCAATAAAACCTCATGTAGATGCAGGGTCAACATAAAGTGTATTTACTAAATTTATAAAAAAGATGTGTCTGGTTCAGTAAGATTCTGAAACAAAGCAAACATTGATCCAACGGCACACTTGTGAAAAAGAAAAACCTTTCCTTCACATGTATTGGAAAGAGAAAAATTAGCACCAACAAAGCCTTTCTAGTCCTTGACGGATGCAATGATGTGTAATGAAGTCTCTGAAATGGACGTAAAAAACAAAACAAAAACAGGAATGATATGCTTTTTCATGCAAAATTCATTCAAACACGAGAAATATGACAAAACGAAGAGAAACAACAACAGAGCAGAGCAAAAAGACAACAAATCAATCAGAAAACAACAGCGCTGGCGGCTGTATACACACATCACATCAGGTCTGGTGTCTTCAAAGACTTTCAGAGCGAGCCGCGCAAAACTCCATTAACTCCTGACAAAGAATGCAAATGAATCCCAACATGTGGTGAAGTGGAATTAAAGAGACCATCTCTAATCATAGCAAACATGAGGTGCTGACTCTACTCCACACACACACACACACACACACACA